TACTGCACCATTTACGGGTCTGGGTGTTCTATAGGCCTCTGAAGTAATTTTGAACTAGAGAGTGAAGAAAATGACCAGGGCAAGATGGTGCCAATTGCGTGTCAACAGAGAGCTACTCTTATGCGCACATTTCTGACGGATGATTGTTTTGGTGCCTCTGCATTTGGGTTTTGTTGTGAACCTGCATCGCTGCAAGCCAGTCATTAAATTTTCAAGCATATTCGCTTTATATCTCGTACTTACAAATTAATGAAGAATAAGTTATGAATGGAACATAAAATAAGCTAACTTTTATTAACGTAACTTCAAGCACTCCGTGTGTTGACCTAGTTCATCTTGCCACGCTTTTGACCAGACGCAAATGGTAGTGAGAGTCATGTATCTAGTAGGGAATGAAGCTGACTGAATAAGCAGATTATCAGAACCGCAAGAAAAAAATTGAAAACATAATAAATATTTAGTGAAAATGTAGGCATCTCTAGGATTTACCGCGATCCACACGAAAACGAATGCGTGCGCTTTCCCGCTGTCCTCGGAAATAGATTTGTAATAAATATCGTGTGAAAGGCATCTCACAGCGCATCTGCATAAACTTCACGCCTAAGAAGCTTGTACAAGATTAACAATGAGCGGTGCCTAAAATTTTTTAATTAGCCTACGCTCAACTGTAGCCGGCAGGAGACACAAAGTGACAATGTTGCATTAACGTGATTAATTAATCGTCGCATTGACAGTGACAAGCACAGAGCAGTCAGTGGCAGAAACAACATAAGAACTTAGAGCTTGTTTAAGTCTCAACTTCTAATCAAGGAGTTCATAATACTGCAATTTAAGATCTATTTACTGCCACATTCGATATCTTGCAATTTAACGATAAGGGATGCAAGGCAAAAATAGGAATGAACTCACTTTCAAGAAATCCGACTTTAATACGTACCTGTGAGAAGGCAATTAGTCAATTACCACTAGGTACCAGAAGGGAACTTAAAATAGCCATTGCTAAAATACTCAAGCACGACTGCGCACTGTGTTTTGTCTGGCCCAGAGTCGACGCATTCTCGCTTCCCATCGGTTGCGTGGACCGACTTTGCCTGCGGCTTTTACTTTAACGACTTGTAAACACGTGCTAAGTACTGCTTTACTCGCCCACGAGGTGTAAACAGTCATAAGCAAAGTTCTCCTTACGTTTGCTACGTGTTTCTGCAAAGGAACTTTGACAGTGTGTTTTACTTCAGAGCATCAGCTCTTCATCTTCACATTTTCACATACTACTTGAATTTGAAAGGAATAGATGCGTTTATTTGTTCGAATCCAATGAGCACAACAGTGTAACAATAACCTCTTAAGTACCGAAATGAACCAAGTGAATTTCAGATAACATATGACTATCGGTGTTTTGTTTAGCATAGATTCATTTAATTACGATTCACAAGTAACGCTTTCACATGATGAATGCTACATTATTAATGCATAAAATAGCACTGGTTCATTAAAGTGGGACAACTCCTACCTTTACTGCTCCTCCAAAATGCACAAGGCGTTACCAAGCTGATTCATACACTCAGTAAAAAAATTACCTTAGAGACATCAGTCAAAAAATAATGCTGTTTTCGACTCTTTCGAGGTCATTTTACGTTCTCTTTCTCAACGCTTATTTTCTACTGCTACATGAATGTACTAAATGTTCTTTTATTGAATCTGCCTGCGTCCTTTCCCTCGACATACTTGATATTTCTGCATAAATTCATTAACAGAGGTAAACAAATAGATGCAGGAAAGGTAGGTGAAAATATATTATTGATTTTAATTTGCACAATACTTTAAGCATGTGGGAAAAATCCATGTGAGAATTTTCTTTACAAGGAAAAGTGCAACTCACATGCGTGATTTACGCTTAGGTAAAAGCTAATTGTCTCTGAAGTAATCGAACTCTACAATTTGCTGAAACATCAATTTTCAACAATCGCAGACAAACCAGCACATTACTGCAATCCAAAGCTTATATCAGAACTAAGATTAAATACATTAATACAGCAATTAAAAACGTTAGCAGGAGGAAGTACCTTGAGAATATTTACTTTGTTAACCATGCTGAGGTGTGCAGGTCAAAGGTAGATGGATTAGCTTGGTTCAAAGCGATTGACGAAACTAATTGAATTTTTTAAATGGTTTTGTAAAATAATTAACCTGCCGAATCGGAACTTTCAAACGAATGCCCAAAATCTGCTAATAAATTTTCAAAAGTTTAACCGAGAGCTCAAAGTAGAATTTTCTTTCTACTTTGTCCACCCAAAATAAATTACTGGGTATTATTTTTGCTAGAATTTAACTGATTACCCACCGTTGAAAATGCGGCCGTTTGGCCGTCAGCTTCTAGAAAAAAGGGAAGCCAAAAACAGCTAGCCAAACGCAACTGATTGGCATATGGCATGAGACGGCAGTGTAAAGTCACTCGTAGTGTAATTCACACTATACGTTTCTGAAGTACTTTGAAATACGATGAAGACTTTCGGCAAAACCCTAATGGTTTGAAGGGCTCCATTTCAGCGGAATGATGAATTAGTTTAAGCAAAATTCGAATTGGGTTTGACAGAAAACAACATGAGTCCTCCTGAAAAGATAGCAAATTGGCATTTGCTTTTGTTACCTTTAAAAGCGAGCCTGTATTTGTTTACGACTACGATGCAACAAATTACACATAGAACAAGGTGGCTAATTTTTCGTTTATTTTTGGTTTATTTTACACAAATACTCCTTCTGAACATAAATTAAGCATTGAGATGTGAACATTTTTAGAAACAGCCTGACATCATTAATCTGAACTTTCGCTTAGATCACCAAGTAAGGGAACATTCAGATCCAATTAGGTGGCTTGGAAACATTTTTTCCATTGTATGTAAGAAAACTATAATTTTTTTCTTATTTGCCAACGAAATTTTAAACGCTTCTTATAAACCCAAGTCTACTGGTTCTTTTTTGCTATTACGGTTAAGTCAGACTTTAAAAGTGATTTTAAATTCGTACGGGTCACAAATCGTCACGACTGGACGTAAAGTCTGGTTCCAAATTTATAAAACACACAATCCCCTGTTAATGAATAAGCCCATGGTAAACTAACCCTTAGTTCATAATCAAGGCAATTAAATTGCCAATAAAATGATTATCGCTGGTATGGAGCCGGTCAAAATTAGAGTTCATTTTTCAGACAAATAAACTTGTGACAACAAAAAAAACGTTAAAGTAAATTTATTCTAATTGATTAGGGGACGCTCGTCACAGAATTATGTTTGTACTTGAATCTTAGGTTTGCATTTTGAAGGTTATGCGATTCTGTCGGTGTATTTATTTAAATCAACCCATGATAGATAAACGACTTGTTTTGTTGTGATTGTTATCCATTTACAGAAGAAAATATTAAAATGATAATTTTGTTACTGACGTATTTATCGGGAGATAAATTCTTTGGTAGTTTGAAATAAAAGATGCTTCTAATATTTGATCGTTACATATATTAATGGCTGCGCTCTCAGGAAAGAGAATAAAGGCAAGATCTTTTATTAACTGGCAAAGTAACGAAGTTTCGTAAAAATTGTAGATAGGCGCATAATAAAGATTGCGTTATGGTTAGCTCCAACAATTTTAATTTAAGTGGCACATTCAACATCTGGTTAATTCGACATTTACATAATTGAATTAAAATAGACTTGATTATTTTCAAATTCCTGGCCTTGGAGACAACTTGGAAAAAATCATAACTTCATTAGAGCAAATAGAAACTCCTGTTAAGCGTAATTTAAAAAAAAGTGTTTTTCAATTTTGACTGTTACTACAAACCGCCATGTAGCACATACCAGACACCCATTTAATTAACATTGTTTTTAGAGCCCAAACAGACTATTACGAATGCGTCATAGAACTGTTTAATTAGGAAAAGTTATAGAAACTTGGTTCCAAATAGGTCCTGCAATATCCAGTGGGATTTGATTCCTTCACAGTCATAGCCAAGCAAGATCTTATTAAAATCATGGATGCAGTCGGTTGACGTTGAATGCCGCATACGCTTCCATTAGTTATGCTTTGGCAAAGCATTTACGCGTGGTAAGCAAGCAGATTTTCTGATTCAAGAGTTTGGGTCATTAACCAAAAGACCACACTGTAGACAATCGCAGCGAGTTGGCCCGTAGTTAATCAAGATTAAATGATTTGTTATTCTAATTTCCTACTTATCTCTTCGACCATTAATCCTTGTTTAGTTTACAAAGCAATTAGATCTAAAAACAAAATTCCAAATCAGTCATATAATAAAATTTTGAATTTATTTTCAATCAAACCAGAGTTTAACCACTGATGCTCTAAAGCCTTCATATGCTCTGAAATTCCTATAAATCGAATGTAACTGCACATCCAAAGAGATCAAGTGTGTTTGCTCAGGTTAACGACATAAAGATTATTAGCTAGTTCCGTAACTATAATTATAAAACCGCCGTGCTAAAGTTTTCAACTGCAAGTGAGCACCTCTCATTGCTTTAATTTAAATCCTTCGAAAAGCAATTCTTGAATTAAAGTAACCTTAAAAGGGGAACAACCGGACTACGTATGTTACAGTTGATTAACTGTTAACAGCGCACAAGAGAGCGCGTGTTTATTGCAAGGGACTACTTAAACATTAACCACTAGGGATGTCTTGTCATGTGTCAAAAGAGTATAGTTGTCTCCATAAATGCCACTTTTGTACTAATTCACATGTATCCGTGTTAAAAAGGTGTAGCATTCTCTTGCAACGAAATTAAAAATAATGCTTACGTGTTATTTTTGATCATAAAAACAATGACTACTGACCACCTTCCTGTCATCAGTACGCAAGTTGCGAGTGAAAAATTAAATTTCGGAGTTTATTTGTGCGAAACATATATGAATGCCTTTACAAAATTTTACTGTGCGTTCAGTTAAATGTGCGAATTTTTAAACCAAACGCCGAGCACTTAATACGTATAAACAAACTAGTCAATAACAATATGTGAGATTTCTGGTGAGTGTTGTGTCACTGGCTTCATGAGGTGAACACAGACGCTTTCTGCAAAGGAAACCTCCTTCGACTGCCTCTTCTTCACCTGACACCCGCTAAAACTATGAACTGGACTTTCCTGTCCGTCAGCGACAACTGGTTTTCTGATAACTGCGTCGTCCAGTAACATCTCAGACTGTCCTACATTACTGTCAAGATGCACAGTACGCATTTTTGACTTGTCCATGCATAGGAGAGATGCGAACCCTATTCGAAATGTATCGCTGAAAAATGCGTACAGAATCGGGTTGACACAACTGTTGCCGTAAGAGAGGATGTTTCCAAGGATATGGAAGAAGCGGAACGCTATCGTCGGGATGTCATGGTAGAAATTTTGGATCAAAAAAACCACCTGAATGGGAAGCCAGCAGGCTGCAAAAACAATGACGACAACGATGACCAATTTCGTCGCCTTCCGCTTGCCCCGATGGGACTCAACAGATTTTGACATCTTTGAAACCCTCCCGCACAAAAGCTCCTTGATAAGAATGCTGTAAAACACACAAATTATCGCAAGTGGGTAAGCGTATCCGAACACGAAAAAGAGGCCGTAAAATACACGACTTCGGTACTGATTCATTCCAGTCACAACGCCCTCGGCAGTGTGCTCGAAAATCCAACCATTGTGGCAGATCGGACGCTGACATGTGGTTTTGTTATCGGTATCAATAGCATAGATGATCTGGGATGTGATGAACATTGGTGTTGTGGCAGTGATAATGAGGATCCACATGACAATGACGGCTATAACAGTATTACGTGTTGTTCTCCACGTTCTGCTTCTCAGCGGAAAAACGACAGCGAGAAAACGATCAAGACACATTAGAACCAGTGTATACACACTACAGTAAACGGAGAAGTAGGTTGTGAAAAAGTACAGTTTACAGAGTACCTCCGGTAATGGCCACGTTGTTGTTACGTACACCATAGCAGTAAACGGGACGCAGAATATGATGAAGGAGAGATCTGCCAGTGCGAGTGAGACGATTAAAATGGTGGTGCTGTTCCTCATTGAGGCATAGCCTGTAATCACTATTATAACAAGCAGATTTCCGGAAAATCCGATGATGTCAACAATTCCAAAGAGCACAGGGACTACGTAGCGGGTGAGAATGGTGATGGGGTCGGAAGTGTCATTGTCCACACAGACCGGATAGGCCGAGAGGTTAAAGAGGCCTGAAGTAGAGTTTGCGACATTCATTGCCCACACCCTGTCGCTGGTGATCGGTCATGAATCTATTTTTATGAAAAAAAAAAGTGTTGGCCAAGTAAGCGATAATAAGTTGCAGGTAAGGTATTAGCTAATTTCATTTAAAGTGACGATTGTTTTGTTTAACAAACCTTGAGACCGTTCTAAATGGTGTTGGTGTGGTATTTTAATTCACAAACCAGGGCGAAGGTAAGCTAAACAGAATCGTAGTCATTTTTTTCGAAGATTTTAAACGAGAAAATGTGCAGTAACTTAATGCATCCTTTTTGTTTGCATGTGTCAATTGTTCGATATTTCTATGATTTTACGCAATGTAACTGTTTTCAGCGATGCACACTTTTTTTACTGTACCACATACTTTTGTCTAATGTCTTCACGTCTCATGAAAAAGGTAATAAAAATTCATTGACCATTTGGTCGATCCTTTAGCACTCACGAATACAACGTTGATTTCTTTTGAAACAAACAAGCACTTTAACCATGATTCTACAAAGAGGAGAGTTAGGCCATAAGTGCTGAAAAAATCCCACTAATTTTCGCTAGATTCATCGAGACAAAGTGTCTACATCTAAAAACCGTGGTTAAGAAGTATCAAGAAAATTTAGACACAACACCTATAGAATTTAAAAACCATGTCATTTACGCCATGTTGGCACAAACAAGTCTCGCAGCAACTGCTGCTATTTTCACGCTCTTCAAAGACGATTAGGTGGAGCATGTAAGCAAGTCAATCCTGACCATGCTGGGGGCAATTTTAAAATTTTGTGAGTTGCAAAGGCACTTTTCAAACAGGATTTGTGACGTGTTGCAGTCTAAATGCGCTGAAAGCCATTGTACCTGCCAGATCGTTTATTCGAGCTCAAGTTTCTATGGCGAGAGATTAACCAGTCTGTACCCGTAACCTGGAAGCCACAAGGAATTTTCTTGGCTAGGCTGTTTTTCAAGTGCAATATTAATAGCTTTCATCTGGCCTACTTGATTGTGTTCGTGTGAACAGCGTCACAGTAACCTGGTCTTCTGAGTTATCATATCAAGAGATTGAGATATGGTAAATAATAGCAAAAGGTTTGTTCCGTAGCCTTGACTCCACCCACGCCCTTTGCAGTTTTCTGCACATTAAAAAGCATTAAGTGGCAAACATTTCACTCTGATTGCTCACTTAGCCTTTATGAAAAACAACAAGCATTTAAGTGTGTGTATCTGTAATTGTTTTGTCCAATCAATTATGATCACCAGTACACATTCCATTTTTTAATTATTTTTACTAGCCATTAGGAAAAACTAGGTCACCGTTTGCATAAATGACAAGTGAAACACGTATTTGACGTATTTGCTCGAAAGAATACACTAGAAAAAGAGTCTTATGAATGTGAAACATTGTTTAAGAAATATTCAAGTGCAGATCGAAATAACTATTAGTAGGAACGATCCGCAACCTTTTGGAATAGCAGAAGGTGTTTTGCCACTTGTGTTCAATGAAAAATGAAAAAAAAATTAAAGAATAATTTGAGGATTTCAACTTTGCGTACTATTAAACTCATGTAAAATGGATCATGCTTGCAAATAAAGCTTTTTGAGCAAAAATGGCGCAAGTATTCCCGTTCAAAATTGATTTTTGTTGTTTTTTTGCCAAGTGACGAATTTCCAAAAGCTTTTTAATCCCATTGTAAACATGCATTTATATTTCACCGGAAACTTAATAATTAAAAGTTACCCATGCAGACGGCCGCAAATGCGCCAACCTAGCAAACGTTACTTTACCATTCACAAAACCCAGACAGTTTAGGACTTAACAATACCAGAATTTATTTTTACTCTAGTGCTCATTTTAAGACCCGGTGTAGCAATGATTCAACGCAGCCTTGACTTTCACGCAAAAAGTATATCTCCAACAAGATTTTGATTTCCCAGCGATAATTTCTAGCGTTCTTTCCTAGCGTCCTTTATATCACAAAGCAGGAAAGCTAAATAAATCACCGTGAGCAACTTTTATTGTACTAGATAGGTAATTGTTCTCGGAATTTGGCATTTGTCCACTTAAAATATCAATATTCCAGTAAACCTTAAGCTTGCACAAGTTTATAATTATTTGGGCCTTTTCGGTATTCTGATTTACCTTTTAGCAAGCACTTTTACCTTCTTTGACTATGGTGCAATAATTTTCAACCTGGCTTGATTAGCAAAAATGCTCCGCAGTAAAAAATTACACTTTCTAACCACTACAAGATTTTTTAGCCCTAAATCTTCGCTATGCACGCGAATCCAGCGTGCCGATTAATCTGAGTCCGTAATACGACACCAGCAAACACTTTTAAGATGTCTCATATTTAAACAGCAATTGAAAAGTTAAAGATCGACATATTTTGTTGGAACGTTGGGAGTCATTAAAATGGTCGTCAAGCCATAGGGATCAGCAGCCAAAAAAGCAAAATATGTAAAAACTCATAAGCAGCTTTTTTATCAAGGACATTATAAATCCCAAAATCATACTAAAAAGTGGTTGAGTTTTGAATTTGGAGAAGCCAGAGCATAACATAAAAGTAAAATCATTTATAAATCATGCTGAAGTAAAGCTTAGAATGAAGGCCCTGAGTTCAGTCTCCTTCAAAAACGATGTTTAAAAACAGATTATCCACCCAGTTTTTACTTGCAATTATGGTTAAGCCTTTTGTTAAGAGCCACGTTGAGGTCTAACTTTCCCGTATTGAGAAGGCAAAATTTACTGCCTTACGGATTAACCACATTTTCGGACGTTTTTCATTTTAAGAGCACATTTAACAGCACAGATTTGAGACTGGATAAGCATGTACACTTAACTCTTCGATTTTACCTACGAAAATTTCAAACACTTTTCGTATGGCATTTGCTACCACCATGTGGGTGTCAAATTATATTAACCTGCTGTAAACTTTAATTTTTGTCTTTGTCGCTTGTCCGCATATGCGTCCAAGTGATTCAAAATTATTTCCACTAAATTCTAAGAATCAGAACATCTCTTCGTAATTCAAGTGTCAAAACGCTTACAGAATGCCATCATTTGAATAGGAAAACAACCTTTTCGACACTAAATGGCATCGTCAACTTTAGGCGAGACCTATATCAATTACAAAGCAAAGCCTCACACTGGTATCACTCATTCATTTTGCAAAACTCTGTCAATAAAAGCTAAAATACCTTGTTTGATTCAGTTAAATATCCTACACATCCCGCACGCGATGGTTTTAGAAATAAGAACTTACATGCAAAGTATTACTATCAGGGCATTTCCTGCAATGGCACAGGAATTAATTAAGAAATTATAAAAACAGATCGACCTATTAATGTCCTTGTTAATTACTAGAAGATGCCAGGAAAGATTATGATGATATTGACAGAGTAATTTTAAGAAACCGGTCTTACTTCACATGGTATGTGAGACTTTTGTGCATGGTCATCGCTTGATGTACGTGGTATTGTAGCAGTAATGTATTTGGCACAATACGTTTTTAATAAGCCATTCAATTTTTTTCAAATTATATTTAGGCAAAACTAGATATACTGTGGCTGTGGAAGAAACGTTCAATTAAGACCTCTACCGACATACGAACTGTGATAAAAGCCTAACAGTAAATTAACTGTTCAGGAGTAGTTGAAGATGTTTATGCGAAATGTGTTTTGTAATTTTTAAATTCAACCCTATTTCATTTAGATTACCAGGTCGTGATAAAATGCTTCTAATCACCGGCCTCTATGATTCGAGTCAGTGGTTCACCAGTGAGACGAATCCTTAGTGGTCGGATGCAGGAAAAAACATGTATAAAGCAAAGATGTTGACATAATGGATAACCGATCGACCACAAAGATAGCTTGGGAATAATTGATGAAGGAAACGCCAATGTAGTGCGCGTAAATGACAGGTCTATTAAGCAACAGACTACTTTTTAAGAGCCTTTTTTTTGAAACAAATGGTTTTTGAGAGTAAAAGCTTTACTTGGAATACTCTTTTTAAAATTTTGTTCTTGTACTCAAATTTTTTGTTCAAATCATTTTTTCAATTGCCTTCTTTTGGCTACTTCCCATCCTTTGAGTGACACAAAAGCATCTCTTTTAGAATTAAAACAGAAAAAAAGAGAACAGAATTTTCACAGGGTCGAGCACAATCCACAAAAATTCGTCAAAATTGTTCTACTGTCAGAACCTTCAGATATGAGAATCCCTAAGAAAGAGGTTTTTCGAATGTACTTGGGTGTTTGGTTTAACAGAAATCATAGAGACTTTGATTTGATTCATGTCTTTCATGCCAAAAGAGTCAAAGAGACAGTTACAGAGCAACATTACATCAAGGTAAGGACTTACAAAGTTTATTCCAGTCTTTTTTTAATGCCAGTCGGCAGGTTCTGTCTTTCATGGTCAGGGTTTGGATTTTTAGGTCTTAGGGACATAAGGTATTTAGGCACTTGGGTTGAACCTTTTGGTTGATAAAAAGTGGAATAAATAGCTTGGAAAATATTTTACACAAAAAAGGAACTAACAAATCATAATTAAAAAACAATTAACGATTGTTTAATTTAAAAATGGTTGGTTGGTTGGTTTGAGCGAATCGAGAAACCATAGAATCAGTGACAGAGCTCGCGCGAAGTCTTTTAATTAGGTAATGGGCTTTGACTGCAACTGGAGTTTAGATTCAAGGCATTTGTACAGTTTTTTTAAATTCATGTGGCAGCAGTTGCTCAGGGCCTTCATGTGAGTACAGGGCATGCTTAAAATCATTTACATTTAGTTAAAGTTTAGGTAATCACTGTTTGAAAAAAGGCATGAGGTGCATGGACTCAATTTGAGACGGATAAAGTTGTTAGGATCGTAACTAGAACTCTAACGCAATCAAGGATTTGATAGCCGACGTGGATGGCTTACGATTCTAATTATGTATCTAAATTTACAAATTTTGAAAAAATACGTTACATGACGAGTTATCCAGGAAATTTGAGTTCCAGGTTTTTACTTGTACAACT